ATGTATGGGGGAGGCCTATGTTCAGCAGTGGACTTTAATAGGCTGTAACGGTATACGATCATCAAGATAAGATGGCATTCAGCTTAGGAAATTATCCTCCATATATTTATATGCTATAGCAAATGCTAGAAAAATCATATGACTTCTGAATTACAGTTTAAACATCTTATTTATAATAGATGAAAATAACATAGCGGCCGCCAGTCGTCAGACTAATCCTGCGTAAAACGGTGGAAGCCGATGATCAGCGCTAGACCTTACGGGTTGATGAGGAAAACCTAGAGAAACAACTAGATGAATGCGTTGGTCCATTGATACGTTGATTTTGATTAAGAATCCAATGCGGAGTCATTCTTGAGGCAAAATGTAAAATAGGATGTCTCATAGAGAGTAAATAATCCCTCTCTGGTTTAATTTTTTTTATAGAATTAGATTGACAAACGAGCACATAGTCCACCTGATGATAAGTGGTTGCTGTGGTCCATAGACATCTACATCTATCTTCGTTTGTGAATTGAAATGCAGATGCGTCAGTCGTGAGGACTAAGATAGAATACCTCTTTTCCAGTAAAATAGGTCTCCGGTTCTCTACACTCACCATACGAAACACAGCAGCGTTAAGCTGCTATTTTAAGCTGGTATGTGGTTTTTCCCCGGTCGAGCCGACCCATTCGTGTTACAACTATACTGCTAATATAGCTGCAGCATGGCTGCACTACGTAAAATTGTTGACCGATTCGTTGCGGCACCAATTTACGACAACTTTTAGCTGTGGCGGCGAACAAATAAATCATGACACGCCGGACGTGTCAAGCGCCACAGACGAGACCTAATTAAGTTTATTTGACATCAAACATAAGTTACAAATGGAAGGATACTTGTTTTTAGTGGGTAACTACTAGGTTCTTTTACGCGTTTTCTTTGAAATTGAGAGAAAGTGACTTTTTTTATGAAGAGATTACAAACCTTTTATACTATTTTTGTTGTTGATGAAGAACCTTAATTTGAAAAAAAATAAGGCATATCATTCATTGATATTTACAAATGTTAAATATTATTTAATGTTATACAAATGTAAAAGTAAAGTCGATCTGAAAACGTCTAATTAGTAAGAATAGCAAAACAATTGTTTTCAAAAGGAAAAAAACGGCGGGACTATATAGCGGCGGATTGACAAAAGACTATTTATGAGCGAACTTTTTTTATGGCGTGAACGGTTTCGAACTGTTTCAAGCAAAAATAAACCTTATACCATATCACAAGAGCACATGGTACTTCGTAGGTCTATTCGGCCATATGATAGTAATAAGACGGCAGTTCAACCATTTTAAGCAAAATTAAACAATGCGTTTGTCTTAACGCATTGTTTTTTTTTTAATAGGAGTCTTGTTTTCCAGAAATTTATTTACAACTTGAGTTTGTGAGCGATCGCAACGAGTGCTATTATTTGTTACTTATTAGACAATTTTTCCATAACATGATTTAAAACCCACAAAGTAAAAATAGTACCACGTACACGTTAAAAAAAGATTGTCAACCCCTAAAAATTTCAAATTTTCAAAATATCCAGAAACGAAGCTGCATGCATGAACTACTCGCAAAATAATGAATATTTTGTTCTGGATAAATTTTCCAAAAAAGCAATTTGAGCGATTTTTAAAAAGACACGACTCGCGTGTCATACGCCACATCATCATCATCATCATTACAGCCCTTCACAAGTCCACTGCTAAACATAGGCCTCCCCCAAAGAATGCCACAAAGCACGGTCCTGAGCCACCTGCATCCATCGACTTCCTGCATGTCTTACCAGGTCGTCACTCCATCTCGTGGGGGGACGCCCTACACTTCGCCTACCGGTACGAGGCTGCCACTCGAGAACCTTTCTTCCCCATCGGTTGTCGGTTCTTCGAGCTATATGGCCGGCCCACTGCCACTTCAGCTTACTAATCCGTTGGGCTATGTCGGTCACTCTGGTTCTACTGCGGATATCCTCATTCCTAAGTTTATCACGCAGAGAAACTCCGAGCATAGCCCTCTCCATAGCTCGCTGAGCGACCTTGAGCTTCCTCATACGGCCAGCAGTGAAGGACCACGTCTCAGTTCCGTAAGTCATCACTGGCAACACGCACTGGTTGTACAATTTCGTTTTAAGGTTTTGAGGTATGTCTGACGAGAAGATGTGTCGTAGCTTCCCGAACGCTGCCCAGCCGAGTTGAATCCGTCGATTGACCTCTCGGTCGAAGTTGGACTTACCTAGTCGGACTATTTGTCCCAGGTAAACATACTCGTCAACAACTTCGAGCTTAGTGCTCCCAACAACTACCGGCATAGGTGTGACATGGACATTAAACATGATCTTTGTTTTGTCCATGTTCATCTTAAGACCTCTCCGTTGGGAAACACTATTGAGGTCACTGAGCATAGTGTTTAGGTCCTCCAGCGATTCTGCCATAAGGACTATATCGTCGGCAAATCGAAGGTGAGTGATGTACTCGCCATTGATGTTGATACCGTATCCTTTCCAGTCCAGAAGCTTGAAAACGTCTTCCAATGCAGCGGTGAAGAGTTTCGGGGATATGACGTCACCCTGTCTTACACCTCTGCAATTGGATAGGTTTCGTATTATGGTTCTGTACTCGGATAGCCATCGTAGCCCTACTGTACAAGCACTTCAACACTTCGATATACCGTGTCTGGCGTATGTGGACTATGAGAAAGCCTTTGATTCTGTCGAAATTTGGGCGGTGCTGCAGTCCCTTCAGCGGTGCCAAGTTGACATACGCCACACACAAAAGTAATAGACGGCACGCCTGGCGTGTCACGCGCACTGAAACAGTTAAACAGGTCAGTCAGGTCGGTCACACAGTTATAAAATACAGATTTTAAATTATATTTTTTTAGCGATTATCATGTGAGGTGTGATTAAAAGCTCCCTGAAATTTCAAAAATGTATAATTCTTTATTTTGTGTACAATATTAACACTTTCGCAATCCAATAGACATTTTGTAAATAATGTTTTAAAATTTTAAAATATCAACTTTGGCAAGTACTTGGACGGAATTTGACGTATTTTTTTATATTTTCAAAATTGCCTAAAGTAAAATATGTTGTGACTCCAATTTGAGTCGTGGAGTTGTCACTGTAAGTCATAGATTATTGGTAAAGTGATAAAAGTACAAAAGACTTCGTATGGAGTCGCATGGACGCTTGACACAAAATTTTGTCTTTGGTATGTTATTTGTTTAACATTTTAGATCGCTAGCAACACCAAATGTCAAAAAAGTCCGTTATTTTAGTTTATCTGAAGGGTTCTTAGGGTAGGGACTTACGGTTTATTCAAAGAGTATAGTAATATATAAGGAAGAGAGCCCTCTTGCGAGTAAAACTGGTGCTCCTTGGAAACAGTGCCACCTGATGATTGTTAAGCCAACTATAATATTTATATGTGTGTGTGTATATACCAATTCACTCACACGAGAGCACTCTGTGAATGCGTGCGTGTGTATATGTACAATGCTCTTTGCCTACCCTCACATTCAATATTCTATATATTTTAAACCTATATTACTATTTCCATTCCAATTTTCTACGAATTTAGAAATTACATTCTGCATTCGTAAAAAATTGAAATGGAAATAGTAATAAATGAATATAATAGGTACATATTGGAATTTATAAAAATTTAATAACGCAAAGCTAAAGAGTAAGATTTAACAATTAGCTATGCATTCATACATAAGTAGAAAATTGGAATGGCACACGGTTAATTTGATCAAACAGAAATAAAACAATTATTTTCACAGAGATTTAAATATATTATTAACAATTATTAGATACACAGAAATAAACTTGGGCACTCAATTTTGGATGATTATGGAAGCATCTTATAACACACCATTTTCAGCAACCCATTATTATTTGTAAAACATTTTCATTAAGTAAAACGACTCTAATAAATCACCATAAATTAAATATTCACTGGCTAGTAACACCACACTTAAGTAATTGTTCTACGAAATACGAAATTAACTAAATCAACATCAAACTTTTGAATTTGGCTTAGAATAGTTAAACAAAACGAACTTGATTCACTTTGAAACTGTTTCTTTTTTAACTTCATAAAAATATGTAATAATTTAGGATATTTTTTTCGCAACAGCAGATACAGATACATTTATATTTTCGGCTACAGAGCTTGTAGTAAAAACTAATCATTACTATGATTAATATTCATAGTTAAATTATATACCAATCTAAAGTTAATGGTAGTTAGATCCTTAAAATTAAATTTATATACTGCATATTTACATTATCGCTTAAAAAAATAAATTTATTTTCTATTTCATATTTGCATTAGTTAAATTTTTATTATGAAACAAAGAGAAAATAAGTTTTAACAAGAGGCCAAAAAATCCGCACCGCTTAGGGTCCACTTCCGAATGGCAAATCGAGATCTTCAAAGTTCCCAAAAATCCACACAGCAAAGGGTCAACTTCCGGGTGGCAAAGCGAGACCGTCAAAGTTCCCGAAAACCCTCACAGCGAAGGGTCTACTACCGGGTGGCAAAGCGAGACCGTCAAAGTTTCCAAAAACCCGCACAGCGAAGGTTCTACTTCCGGGTGGCAAAGCAAGACCGTCAAAGTTTCCGAAATTCCGCACAGCGAAGGGTCTACTTCCGGATGGCAAAGCGAGCCTGGCAAAGTTCCCGAAAATAGAAAAATCGAAATGAGCACAGTTCACCTGACTGTTAGTGGAAGCTGTGGTCAATAGACATCTACATCTATCCTCAATTAAGAATCAAAATGCAGATGCATTGTCAACCTCAAGGACTAAGATTTAATGCCTTGTTTCCAGTAAAGTATCTGGCTCTAGTGCAAAAGTATCTGGCTCTACACACTACTCTCACCATAAGAACCACAGCAGCATTAAGATGCTATTAGCCTTAATGTGTTACCCCCTAGAACCTAAAGAATATAAATTATTATAGAAATGTAAATTATTGCTTCCTCTCTAATAAGTCCATATAAGCACATTCTAACAAGTCTTCATCCATCACATCAAGTTTGATTTGTAAGTCTCTTGCAATTGCCTGACCTTCCTCCAAGGTCTGTTCAGGCTTCAGCACCACTTCTAACTCCATGAAACTCCCCAGGTTTCGTACGGTATCAACATGAATTCTTGTTTGTCCAACTAAATAAAGTTTTCTGAAACAAAGAATATTGATTCCTATATGAGAACTGTAATTAGAAATATAAACCTAATATCTATATATATAATAATCTTTTCTACTGACATCAAAAAGGAGACTGTACTCAATTAGTGTTTTTTTAAGTGTGTTACCTCATAACTTTTTTTCTGGGTGAACCAATTTCTATGATTCTTTTTTTAATTTAAAGCTGGTGTTTCTCATGTAGTCCCATATAAATTTGATCAAGGTCTGACCAATAGTTTTTGAGTTATTCTTAGTAATTTATATTGAAGTTGGTTGTACAACATTTTTAATTTTAAATTATTAATACACTGCTTCAGAATCATGTTTTTTGAGTATGTTTGTATGTATATTTCTTTGGCACTATATGTAGCCTTAATGGTGGGGATTTTAACATATAGAGTATCGTTAAATTAATTTGTCTTAGTTATAAAATTGACAAAGGGTATAAACTTTTTCTTTTTTCTGCCGACTTCCAAAAAGGAGAAGGTACTCAATTCTACTGTATGTTTTTTTATGTTTGTTACCTCATAACTTTGTAATGGATGAACCGATTTCGATGATTCTTTTTTTTATATGAAAGCTGATAGTTCTCGTGTGGTTCCATATGAATTAGATCAAGGTCAGACAAATAATTTTTGAGTTATTCTTAAATAGCTAATATTGAAGTCGGCTGTACAAAAATATTAATTTTAAATTATATTACATACGCGTTGGATTATTAATAAACTTTTACGTAGTCGGTCTTTTTTATTGTTTTTTAACAAAAATATTACTAGAAGTACTTACCGTTCCTTAATAACACGACCTCGAATACCTAAACATTTTTGTAACATTTCATCGAGAAGTTTAGCTTTATCACTATCAGAAGCAGAAAATTCCAACAGTTCGTAATCACTCAGTTTTGGTCCACCTTCATCAACACGACTGTATCTAACCAAAACTGCAGAAGAATCCGGAAAATTTCTCATTTTTAAGCGCCCATTGTTTACTTTATAGAAAATATCATCCTGGTGAATAACAGTACATGGTGCACCGCTCAATTCTTCGGCTATTTTGCATATTTTTTCAACGTCGTGAACTTTTGCTTTTATTTCAACGTTACGCATTGTGGAATAATATTATGATCATTTAAATGTATAAGTTATCATGTAAGGAATGCTACACTTTGCCTTTGCTATTACTAATACTATTTATAATGAATTGTTTATTCCTTGACAAAACATAACATAAATTAATAAATCAATGTAAAATCGGAAACGCGCCAAAAAACCGATACACGAAAAGGAGAAGAGAAATTATTGTGCTTGTCTGCTTGTTGACTTGTTGATACGAGGCAAAGGTCTTAGGCCATACAGTGTAGTCTTATTTGTATTTTGTTTTCAAACATCTTCCACATTACGAAAATGCGTCATATTTCACAGTACATGGGAGATTTTAACGACAACCTTACTCAGCTGACAGTTGGAGAACCCCTACTTTACCCTACTGGTATTATTTATTTGAAGTGGATTTTGATATGTAAAAGTGGTGCGATTTTGTATATTAAATGTCTGTACATGTGAACTATTAGCGGAAACGGTGAAACAAGTTCTGCGAAGTGATGTGAATCTCAAGATAAGGGTGTCTGCTTAGGCTCCTTGAAATACTATCACTAACTGTCGTCTGGCTAAAATTTCCTTCAAAATCTATAAAAAACTATGCAATTTGACACATCAACATATTGTGAAGCAGTATACTAAAGGATTTTTATCACTTGATACCATTGTTAACACAATGAAATAATTTATTATAAATAAATATGAACTTATGACGCAATCATCATCATTACAGCCCTTCACAAGTCCACTACTGAACATAGGCCTCCCCCAAAGAATGCCACAAAGCACGGTCCTGAGCCACCTGCATCCATCGACTTCCTGCATGTCTTACCAGGTCGTCACTCCATCTCGTGGGGGGACGCCCTACACTTCGCCGACCGGTACGAGGCTGCCACTCGAGAACCTTTCTTCCCCATCGGTTGTCGGTTCTTCGAGCTATATGGCCGGCCCATTGCCACTTCAGCTTACTAATCCGTTGGGCTATGTCGGTTACTCTGATTCTACTGCGGATATCCTCATTCCTAAGTTTATCACGCAGAGAAACTCCGAGCATAGCCCTCTCCATAGCTCGCTGAGCGACCTTGAGCTTCCTCATCCGGCCAGCAGTGAAGGACCACGTCTCAGTTCCGTATGTCACCACTGGCAACACGCACTGGGTGTACAGTCTCGTTTTCAAGGTTTGAGGTATACCTGACGAGAAGATGTGCCGTAATTTCCCGAACGCTGCCCAACCGAGTTGAATCCGTCGATTGACCTCTCGGTCGAAGTTGGACTTACCTAGTCGGACTATTTGTCCCAGGTAAACATACTCGTCAACAACTTCGAGCTTAGTGTTCCCAACAACTACCGACATAGGTGTGACATGGACATTAAACATGATCTTAGTTTTGTCCATGTTCATCTTAAGACCTATCCGTTGGGAAACACTATTGAGGTCATTGAGCATAGTGCTTAGGTCCTCCAGCGATTCTGCCATAAGGACTATATCGTCGGCAAATCGAAGGTGAGTGATGTACTCGCCATTGATGTTGATACCGTATCCTTTCCAGTCCAGAAGCTTGAAAACGTCTTCCAATGCAGCGGTGAAGAGTTTCGGGGATATGACGTCACCCTGTCTTACGCCTCTCTGCAATTGGATAGGTTTCGTACTCACACTTGCGTGTGGCTCCAACGATGACGTGTACAACTGCCCATAGAACCTCTCAATCTCACTCAAAATCTCAGGTGTCCCGGAAACGATGCTACCACATTCTGTCTTCAGCTTTGACAGTTGGCTCTTTCTGGCAGACAGATCTCTGGCAAAGACTTTGGAGCCTTGGTTCCGCTCGATCGCTTCTTCAATACGAGCTGTATTGAAGTTGCGTAAGTCCCGCCGCATGCATTTGGAGATCTGTCTATTCAGATGCCTGTATGCTGTCAAGTCTGTTGAAGAATGTAGCTTCATCTCCCGTCTAACAGCCATGAGATTAAGAGTGTGATCGGAGAGTTTTTGTGTTCTTCTGCGGCGGGTCTTGCAGAACTTAGCTCCGACCGCATGGACAGTTTCCACGAGCTTGTCATTCATATCGTCTACTTCATTGCAGTCTTCTAGGCACTGAAAACGGTTTTGTAACTCGAGCTGAAAGGTTTCGGGACTTTGAATTAGAGCACGAGGGGGACGGAGCGTTGACTTCATTAGATGAGTCCTCTCCAACTTAACGTTTAGGTTCAGTGTGCCTCTAACCATTCGGTGATCGCTACCAGTTTTCACCCTCGCGATCACGGAGACATCACTGAACAGTTGTCGTCTGGTCGTCATAATGAAGTCAATCTCATTTTTTGTCGAACCGTCGGGGCTCGACCAGGTCCACTTCCTGTGGGGCCGCTTCTGGAAGAAAGAGTTCATCATAAAGAGTCCCTCTTTCTCCATGAAGTCGGCCAGCTGCTGGCCCCTTGGGTTCCGTTGCCCTATTCCAAATTTCCCTACTTTCAGCTCACCGTTCTCTCTTGTGCCTAGTTTTGCATTAAAGTCTCCCACAATAATCTATGACACAATATATGTATTCAATTAATATTTGTACAAAGCACTCAATATTACAGGTTTTGTAATCACGACGCTTAATTACACTTTGACTAATTCGACGCGTGTTCTCAAAATAGAATGCCCAAGAATCATGATGCACCCTAATTTATACATTTCCCTGTCCACTTCACATTTCCCCTTCCACTTCTCTTCCGTTGTGCACGAAGAGGGGCGGACGATGTTGGTTGCCAACACCATAAAGCAACACAGGCTCCGACGTTCTGGACGGGAGTAGCCATACATGAAGTTATAGATCTATAACTTCATGGAGTCATACACAAGCGTGCAAAAGTAAAGTCCATACATGACAAGGCGACCCTATGTATACAATAAAACTAGTTGCAACCGCACTGCTCACTAGACTAAATTTAGTTGCGCGATTGAATTGACGTCCTACAAAAATGCAGCTTCTAACTAAAAATTCAGTTTTATGCAGCAAAAAGAGATCTACCATATCAAATTTACAAAAAGATGGCGTTACCTTCCATATGTAATGCTTTATATAATTTTTAGTTTTAAAATGTATTTTTAAGTTTCTTTAACTAAGAATTCATTCAAAATATAAAATTACAGATTAATAAAATTAGGAATAAATACATCTTAAAATTAATTATATACAATATTAAAAAATGCAATACTAAAAAAAACTAAAACTAGAAACTTAATTATCATATAGTCCTACTACCCGCGGTATTGTGCCAAGAACGCTGGCTGCGTTTCCCCGTTGAATGGCTATACTTGGCATTTGAGCGAGAAAAGAACCAGCCCTCTTTATAACAATTGTACTATTTATATATTTTTTATCTTAAAAATTATAATAATAAGTGCATAGTTGCCATAGTAACGGTCGTATTGTTTCGGATTTGTTTACCACCACAGGCCACTCGCCTTCATACAATATGCGGTTCGGTCGAGCGACTGATTTGATTCTGTACGAAGTAAGTGTGTAAGAAGTGCTAGTGCAGTGGTTATGACACAGAATATATCTATGGCTGCGTGAAATAATTGTTATTATATTATTATTTTACTTGTAATGTGTGAGTTTGTTGAATTGAAAAAGTTTTAAGATTTCGGAAAATAACGCTATGGTTTTTTTCCTCCTATGTTGCTCTATGTAAATGAAGACATGGCTTAAAAGACAAGCAGCCAAACCGAAAATATTATTAAAAAAAGCGTCAAAGTCAATTGAAAATATTGGAAAATATGTAAACAAATTATATTGTTACTCTTACATATTTTATTCAACAACATTATAAATGGATGTGGGTTATGTAAAAGGCTGGGTTTACCAGCCTGATGTTTGCCGGTGTTGTCTGTCTGCGCGTGGCAGTTGTGATATGACTGTTGCGTACGTTTCTGATTCTGGGAAAAAGGAAGTTTATTGTGACATGCTACAAGAATGCCTTGGTGTTACTGTGAGTATTTTAAAATTACAATTGTAAACAAAATGTTAATGCTGCATTACTTACCAATTACTTACCAAAACTGATTAAGTTTTGGTTTCTTAAGAAATTTAATGAGGCTCATAAATTTGATGTGTTAGGCTGCATTATAAGCATGTAAAATCATGAAAACAATAAGACCACCCTCAACATGATATAATTTACATGATACCTACCTGTAAGCACATAAAAATTTTTATGAGGCTCAGACATCCACAATAGATTATTGTTGGAGTTAAGTTTGTTCACGTTATAGTTACATATAACGCATACATTTACCGTGTAGTGGTGGGGTAAATATGGATAAGGTTGGAAAATAGGTCGCCTGAATTGTGTGGAGGCGGAGAGGGGGGGGTTGTAGAGTAGCCCCCCCACTTCCTTTTTCTGCTGGACAAGCTTAGTTCTTTTTATAAATTTTTAAAAATCTCATTTTGAGGTTATATTTTCGTAATGTTTTTGACTATGTAAACCTGATTTATGGGGGTAGAGAGTTAGGGGATGGGAAGCTTCACGCCACTCAACGTGGTGCAGTCGAGGGTAGCCTGGTCAACGGAGCTCGCTTGGCTCCTACTTCTGAGTGGATAATGAAAAATAATCACGGAAGGGATGGCGGAGTCTTGCTTCGCTTGTTCAGTCGACCTCGCCATCCCCTTCTAACCTAACCATTCCGAGTCGGGGTGCCGCAGATCGCGAGCTCGTTTCGTTCGCTCTTGCACTCAATCGGTGTCCAAAGGGGTAACAAAGTTGTCGAAAATTAGCAAGCAATTGGTGTCCAGAGGGGTAGTGAAATGTTCGAAAATAGGAGGAGGCAAATAAAAACGTAAGGGAACACATTCACGTAAACTCTGAAGCAACGGAATGACGTAAAGTATATCAGTCAGTGTCAATGAAATTGCCGGGGTTGAGTTTAAAAGTAAGTCACCTGTATTTTGCTGGCCTAGTGATTCATTATTACTTATTTTGAGATGACTTTGAGAGATGCAACGTCAAAAAAGTTAGAATTT